ACAGCCTCAAGAATGGGACTGGGATTTGGCCAGCGGGGGCTGCCCGGGCAGTGTGGCTGGTGAGACAGCGGTCATGGCAGACGTGCAGCACTGCCTTTCCCCAGGGAGGAAGGGAGGGGAGTGTGTGCTGGTGGGGTCATAAACTAAGGAAAGAAAGCAAGCAGGTAGACCTGTATTTATTTACTGCTGCTGAACAAGCTGCTGGTTGGAAGCAGCCTATTTAATTTTTGCAGTACCGAGCATTTTCTGTTTATGGAAGCCATGCGATCACTTTGTGGTATTTATGCTTGGTGGGGAAAAAAAACTGGTATGTTGCAGGAAGCCTATGGGCTATCTTCTGGAAGAAGCTTTTTCAAATGTAGCTGACCACCCTGGTGTATTCTAAAGTTCCTAAAAAATGCCTGTTCAGCAAAAACCTTTTTTTTTTTTAAAAAAAAAATACCAGCTTGAACGAGTCTTCTTCCAGAAGAGATCTCAGTAGGATTAAAAAAAAATAAAATTATCTCCTTTGGATCCTGAGAGAAATGGTCACTGACTGTGGTGTCAGTCAAGCGACCCCCCCAAAAGCCAGGCTGTGAGTGCTTGATGTCCACAAGGCCATTGGGCTGGCTGCTTGCTGTCAAATCCCTTTGCTTCAGTGAACTGGCATCTTATTTTCTGTCTTCCTGTAAGTCTCCTGAAGTGGTGCTATAGCCACAGCTAGTAGTTCGATTAATATGACTTATGGGTCACCCAACATGGATCTGGGTGGGTTTGAAGGGCTGGGACTGGTGGAGGGCTTTGTCTGGAATGGGGCACTGAGATCACATGATTCTCTCCAAGGGATGATGTCAGATGTGGTTATACACCTACAAGGATGATGTTAGATGGGGTTATAAATCTACAAACGCTCTCCACTTTAATGCCTGTTTGCTGAATAACTCTTCTTTGAGCTCTGCAGGACAACTCTGACTTCCCATCTGACACTAAAAATTTAATCATGTGTGAAAGAAACATAATCTGTCAATGTATCACACTAGAGATGAATTGGTGGTGGTTGCTTTTGTTCCATTTAAAATAGCCTCTGCACACAACTGTAAGCTGGACAATCATTTTGATAGGTACATGTGACATTTTATTTTTGAAAGAATGATATATCATAAATGAAACCTGAGCTGGACTGTCTTTTTATTTCTCCATGTTGTGCCAGGTACCTGCTAACACCTCCCGTAATTGCTAATGGTTCTCTGGGTTGAAAATGGCTACACAGCCCATCAGAAGCAGGAATCCATACTGGAAGGCAAGATCTGAATATTTCCAACTCTGCAGCAGCTCTGATCCAAATCTTGACTTCTGGCCCCAGCCCAAGGATTAGTTTATTCTTTTCTGCATAAAGTGCTATTGTAAGGCTGCCTGGAACATCAAGGTATAGCTTTTCACTCAAAAAAAAAAAAAAAAAAAAAAGAGCCTCCTGATTGGCTGCAGTTAGCGAGTATGTATGCTTAAACTGAAAGGGAGCGTGTTCCAGCTGGAGGGTGGCTGGTGATGATGGAGTGTCACTTCTGTACTACCTTGCACTGCTGTCTGCTTCAAAGGGGTTTTGAGCAAAAAACTTACTGGCCTGATGTGTAGGAAAATTAGGGACAACATATTAGCAAAACAGTTCCTGTATCAGTACAACCTTGTCTCTCCGCAGGATGGTTTTCTGAGTAAAGCTCCAGTGCTTTCTCTCCAGGATGTACAGCTGTGTTTCCCCTATGAGCTATCAAGAACGAAACAACCATCTAAAATCTTAAAATTATTATTCTGGAACAAAAATATTATTCGGAGAAGGTGGGTGAGCCTAATCCATACCCCTGGAAGGTACGGCCAGCCCACGTTGCTGTGCCTGGAACAGATCCAACCAAGTAATGGCTTTTCGCCTCTCTCTGCTGCTATCATAGTGAGGCAGTTCCACACCCCCCTTCCTGTGGTGGTTACACAACTTTGTCATTTAATCGTGGCCAGTTTAGGCCAGTTTGTTTTATTGTGAGCATCAACCTCTACTGATACATTAAGAGGGGAAAGAATGCCTGGAAGTAGGCAGCAGTCAAATTTTCCCCTTCGTTCTCGTTTAAACAAGTGAAATCCTTTTAGTCTCCTGTCATACTATGGGTTAGTTATACTGTTATCATCCCTCAAGTGCTTTCCTGCATCTCTTCAGGGCCAGGGAATCTGTTTGGCCAGAACTGTACGGAAGGGATTGCGTGCAGGGTCTGGTACAAAGGCTTAGACTGCCTTCATTTCTAAAGCAGACCATGCTCGCATTTTCCTTTTTGCCCTGATGTCACACTGTTATCCTGCTAAGGTCTTGTATACTCAAGTCTCCCTCCTCTGCTCTTATTAAATGATGAGCTCCCAGATTAAATACAGATTGATTATCCCTGTGTAAATGTCTACGTGCTTTTGGTCTGTTAGGTTTCACCAAGAGCTTACAGCAAAACCAAGTCTGCTTGTGCTTTCCTAAGGTTTTCTTTCCCCTGGAATTTGTAGAAGGCACTTCTGCAGGACCCGACTCCCAGCTCAGCCTGTGGCAGACCCTTTTCTCCTGGCTGGGTTTTATGACACTGTTCTCTTGATCCCAAGGTTCTTGGCCAGTTGAAGTTTTGCATCTGACAAAAATAACATTGGAGAACTGGCCCTTACGCCATCACCTTCTGTTTATGAGAGGCAAGTTGCTTAGACCTGTTGTGTCGCTCTCCCGCTCTTTCAGTCAGACAGGCCCCTAATTTGTTTAGATGGGTACACACATAAAGGAAATATTAACATAACTACTCTTACTACAAGTTACTTTGTCCAGAAGCCAGCAGTTACAAAATTCACCCTGCTGCTATTCACTGCCCCAGTATTTCTGGCTCCTGTCTGTTGGTCGCGTGACAAAAGCAATTTGCTCTTTTGCTCCCCTGGAGCTGCCCACACTAGTTTACTGTGACTGCTCAGTCCCTTGCTTGTCCTAGAGGTCTCCAGGGGAAACAATATCTCAGTTTTTGATGTTCAAAGCTAGAGACGTTTTTTCTCTCTTGGTCCGTGCAAGATGAAAATAAGTAAAGCAGCAAAGGATGAAAATCTGCTGTTCCTCACTGCAGGACACTGCTATCAGATCTTTGCATCGCTGGTGCAGGGGCACCGGATCATTCTTGTGTGGGAGCTCTGTAGCTCTTCACTGCGCATTTATCAATTAAGGTGATGCTGTTGGGCCCAGAATCCTTTTTACCCTTTGTGCAACATAATTCCAGGGAAACTTTTCCCTTTCCTGGTTATAAGTAGTATTGTCTCCTCAGTGCAAAGTGTGGAATGGTCACCACAGCATAATACTCCTTTTCTGCAATGCAGTATTGTATTCAAGGGCTGGGGCTTAGGTGAGATGGAGGCAGTGTCTGCTGCTCTCCCCTGTTCTCCCCCCTCTCCCTTAATGTCACTCTGAGATGGGCTTTGGTGCTGCTCAGGACATGTCTTGTCTGGGACCAAAAAGGCCAGTCAAAGCCAGAGTGAGAGAAAGTAAAGCACTGAGTTTGACTCTCATCTAGCAATTAATAGTGACTTTTATCAGGGACCTGTGTCTATAATTTCTCTAATAACAAATGCAGCTGTTGAACTTGAGGTGAGCTGTCTGTGTTTCCTCTATTTAAGATGCTTTGCAAGTGCCTGTGACCATTTAAAGCTCAGTGAGCCTGTGTCCGGTGCTGTGATCTAGCCTATGGCACATCCCAGGCTTCTAATCTCCAGCAATGAGAAGGGACAGTGTGTCTGCAGTGTCACTTCTAAATACTGCATGGGGAAGGGCTGACATTTAGCAATTATAGCCTCAAAATCGATACATGTAAGATGGCACAGGTTAAAACAGGAGCAGATGCCTCACAGCATGTATGTGTCTGCACTGGTTATATGATACCCCAGAACTCCAGAGGCTTTACCAGGCACAATGCAGGCAGTTCTTCCCCAAATCCTAACCCTGGAAGGAAGTCAGGATGCAGGAAGGAACAATATGATGCTAATGTGCTTTCCGGTGGGCATTACAAAAGGGTTCTTTTGGAGGGCTATGTTTGTATCTCTGCATAGGGAGGGAGGGTTTCAAGAGAGGAACAAGGACTTAGGGAACAAGAATAAAAACCTTGTTGTGGGACTACTGAACAGGAAGTGAATGGAGACTCACCTGAGCTGTGTGACATATTCCTGTGTCTCTGTGCTGTGGCCAAGAAGGAGCTGAAGAGGAGGGGCAGAGTCTGTGCTTGCTACATCTCCAAGATGCAGTGAGGCACAAAGCCAGGCAGAATTTTATACTCTAACTTTGATCAGCAATGCCCCTTTAAGGCTGAGCAAGGCATGCAGCATGGGCACTGCCCAGTCCAAACCCAGCAGCCACGTGAACTGTACCCGGGTGGGCAGTGCCAGGCTGGCACAGCAAAGGCCTCCCAATGGCAGAGGGAATCAGACTGAACTTGCTGGCTCCCACCCACTCTGCTCCCCTTTTCCTTGGGACAAATGAGAAGAACCTGTCCCCAGGTGCAAGATTTTGGGAGTATGCGTCAGAGTTAGAGATGCCTGGCAGTAAAACATCCGTCTTGCCCTGATTTCTGCCCGGGGTGCTGCAATGTTGAGGGAAATAACCTTCCAATCTGGCTGTGGTGCAGAGGTATTTTGGTTTATGTTATTGCTGGGAGCTTTCTCTCTGAGTTCTTTCTGCCTGTCTGTGTTCCTGATCTCTGGATCTCTTTGCTCTTTTTTCTTTTTTTTTTTTCCCTTGGGCTGGGTTGTGTGCTGTCTGCATCAGGAAGTAATACGCAATGAGGAAACTCTCATCATCTGTGCATCAGGGAGAGAATTATTGACTGAGTGCTGAGCAGTCAAGTTATTGATTCAAAACAGCCCAATCGCTCTGTCTGCCGCTTGGAGCGGCTGGTTACGTCCTGCTGGTTCATTGCATTTAATCGGATTCCCTGAGCTGCCGCGCAGAGAGGGAGTTAGAACCAGATCCGTCTATAATGTTCGCTTCAAAATCCAGTTCTGTATCCCCTTCTCCATCCATGGAGCAGGCAGATTCGGATGCTCTGGATATCAGCACCAAAGTGCAGCTGTACGGTGTGCTCTGGAAGAGACCCTTCGGGAGGCAGTCAGCCAAATGGTCCAGGAGGTAAGCCACAGTTGCTGAGGGGTGCTCAGGTGAAACGCGAAGCCTGAGGGTGCTGGGGTAAGTTAGAGCCTGAGCGCTTGGCTCTCCAAGCGCAGCTAGCCAGGTGGAGAGTAGGGGTGAAACTCTGGGCATAGCTTTCCTGCTGTTCTGAGTCTGCTTTGCACGTGTGGCACCCCATTGTGCTTTCTTCTTTATCCGCCCAGACCCTGTGCTATGTGCACTTCAGGGTGGGAACGGGGACTAGCTGGGTAATTATCTATGATAATTTCATGAAAGAGGAAGAGTCAGCTCGTATATTTTGCCCCCAAACTGCTTGACTTTGTTCATTATCACTTGTTAAAGCTCTTTGAGTCCTTTGGGTGTGAGGTAGCTGGGCTGAACTGACTATGCGTGTGGGACTGTTTGTGTGGTCTGCAGGGGTTTGTGGCCCAGCATCAGTACTGCTGTGCTGCGTGGTGGTGATAGCATGCTTGGAACAGCAAATGCAGACTCTCTTCCCTGGGGGGAAGGTGGCTCTGAATTCTGTCCCATCTGGTGCTAGGGAGTGGTAAGCTGCTGTGTGTTGTGTATCAGCAGCCAGAGGCTTGGAGCTGGAAAGCGTTTGCTATAACCTTTTGCAAGGACAGAATTATGTTCTGTAATACTGAAGTGGTGGGTCAGTTTGAGGTTTAAAGTTGCTGTAGTTTCTTTATGTGAATCACCGAATCTCACAGGAGAGTTTTTCACCAGTTGTCAAATGATGAGACACGACTGTTTACGGATGGGTACTCACACAGAAATGTGGTACAGCTCTTTCTCATTGCTCGCTGGGGGTACGTGATCCAATGGATTAAGCCTTCCAGCATTCCTGGATGGCAGATTAATGTCACTGCTGATAGATGCCATTGGCAAATGATTCAGTCAGAAGACTAGCAGCTGAAAAACTTGCGTTTTCACCCTATCACTGCCAGAGATATATTCTGTGACCCATGATTTGTCATTATGATCTATTAAAGGAGGACAGTAGTACTTACCCATGTTTAGCACTTTGATATCTGCAGATGAAAAAGTCTGCCAGAAAAGCAAACTAACGTTGTTTTCTTCCCCCCACCTTTCGACTGGGGAAAGGCACAAACGAGTCATTAACAAGGCAGCACAGGAAGACTGAGCTACCTCTGGAGCCTTTGTAGCATAGTGTGTCTCAAGGCTTTTAGGAAGAATAAATTAACCTGGCACATCAAATCAGTTTCTAAACCCAGCTTTCCCAGTTTAGCTCTGTGTCCTAACCACAGTGGTGTCCAGTCTAAAACTGTGAGGGATGGCATGGCCTGAAAAATAGTTAAATGTTGCTTGGGAAGCACTTTTGTGTTTGTAGCCATCTTTGACCAGGTTTTATTCTGTACT